AATCATTTGAACATTTTCTAAAGCCATTTGAACAAGTTATAATCAAGATATCAAATTTTGTTAACAGATCCTACAGCATTATCTAGGAGTACCTATACTGAAATTTTGAACAAAATCCATTTTTGGCCGAAAATGACAAAAATTGTAAGTCTATATAGCCTTAAAGGATTTTGGCCAAAAATACGTTTTCTCTGAACTAAAATTTAATGTGCCTAACTATTTAAGTACATCCAGAATAATACACAAGCACCAAGAAATGACCTCGAAAAAACCCATAAGTGGCGAGTAATTAGCATTGCAAAAGTAATTAAAATATTCTAAAATCATTTGAACATTTTCTAAAAGCCATTTGAACAAGTTATAATCAAGATATCAAATTTTGTTAACAGATCCTGCAGTTAATATCCAGGAGTACTTATACTGAAATTTTGAACAAAATCCATTTTTTGCCGAAAATGACAAAATTGTAAGTCTATAGCCTTAAAGGATTTTGGCCAAAACATTGCTTTCCTCTGAACTAAAAATTTAATGTGCCTAACTATTTAAGTACATCCAGAATAATACACAAGCACCAAGAAATGACCTCGAAAACCCATAAGTGGGCGAGTAATTAGCATTGAAAAAGTAATTAAAATATTCAAAAAATCATTTGAACATTTTCAAAAGCTATTTGAACAAGTTATAATCAAGATATCAAATTTTGGTTAACAGATCCTTAAGCAGCACATTCAGGAGTACTTCATAATGAAAATTTTGGAACAAAAATCCATTTTTTCCGAAAATGACAAAATTGTAAGTCTATAGCCTTAAAGGATTTTTGGCCAAAAAACATTTTTTCTCTCTCTGAACAAAATTTAATGTGCCTAACTATTTAAGCACATCCAGAATACTACCAAGCAACCAAGAAATGACCTGAAAACCCATAAGTGGCGAGTAATTAGCATTGCAAAATAATTAAAATATTCTAAAATCATTTGGAACATTTTCTAAAAGCCACTTCGAACAAGTTATAATCAAGATATCAAATTTGGTTAACAGATCCTTAAGGTACATTCAGGAGTACCTATACTCGAAATTTTAACAACCATTTTGGCTCAAATGATGTAAGTCTATATCTAAAGGATTTTTACCAAAAATACGCTTTCTCTGAACTAAAATTTAATGTGCCTAACTATTTAAGTACATCCAGAATAATACTGAAATTTTGAACAAAATCCATTTTTGCCGAAATAGAGTACCTATACTGGAAATTTTGAACAAAATCCATTTTTGGCCGAAATGAAGAAATTGTAAGTCTATAGCCTTAAAGGATTTCAATTAAAAATACGTTTTTCTGAACTAAAAATTCTCCTAATGTGCCTAACTATTTAAGTATTATCCAGAATAATACACAAGCACCAAGAAATGACCTCCTTAAAACCCATAAGGGCGAGAATAGCATTGCAAAAGTAATTAAAATATTCTAAAATCATTTGAACATTTTCTGTGCTTAATATTTGAACAAGTTATAATCAAGATATCAAATTTGCTAATGTGATCCTTAAGCAGCATTATCTAGGAGTACCTATACTGAAATTTTGAACAAAATCCATTTTTGCCGAAATGAAGAAATTGTAAGTCTATAGCCTTAAAGGATTTTTTTGACCAAAAAGTCATTGCTTTTCTGAACTAAAATTTAATGTGCCTAACTATTTAAGTACATCCAGAATAATACACAAGCACCAAGAAATGACCTGAAAACCCATAAGTGGCGAGTAATTAGCATTGCAAAAGTAATTAGTAAATATTCTAAAAATCATTTGAACATTTTCTAAAAGCCATTTGAACAAGTTATAATCAAGATATAACAAATTTGGTTATCAGATCCTAAGCAGCATTATCCAGGAGTAAATTTATACTGAAATGAACAAAATCCATTTTTTGGCCGAATGAAGAAAATTAAAGTCTATAGCCCATTTTCTAAAAGCCATTTGAACAAGTTATAATCAAGATATCAAATTTTGGTTAACAGATCCTAAGCAGCACATTCAGGAGTACCTATACTGAAATTTTGAACAAAATCCATTTTTGGCCGAAATGAAGAAAATTGTAAGTCTATAGTAAAGTTTTGACCAAAAATACGTTTTCTCTCTGAACTAAAATTTAATGTGCCTAACTATTTAAGTACATCCAGAATAATACACAAGCACCAAGAAATGACCTCGAAAACCCATAAGTGGCGAGTAATTAGCATTGCAAAAGTAATTAAAATATTCTAAAAATCATTTGAACATTTTCTAAAGCCATTTGAACAAGTTATAATCAAGATATCAAATTTTGGTTAACAGATCCTTAAGCAGCACATTCAGGAGTACCTATACTGAAATTTTGAACAAAATCCTAACCTAACCTAACCTAACCTAACCTAACCTAACCTAACCTAACCTACCCCTAACCTAACCTAACCTAACCTAACCTCTAAAATAAAACCTTGGTGAGCTTTATTGGAAGTAATTAAAGAAACAAACGAGCGAACTATCAAACAAGCACTGGAACGACTCTTTACGGTACAACAATTCAATAATTATCTTATCACTCATATATTACCGTTACTATGAGAGATTTAAATTACTTTGTAGCAGTTTTTAACGAAGACGAAAACAAATAAATAAAATAAAATCAATAAATAAAACACGAAAATGATCATAAACGCGTAACTCAAGATAGGTGGAGGGAGAGGCAGTCACCACCTCCTCCTAGGGCCTACGAAAAATATAACGAGAACTTTTCTTCCCTTTTTCTACAGGTTATTATTAAATTGATACTGAGTACTTTTTTCCATTTATTTATTACTTAATCCTATTAGTGTCCACCAGCTAGCTGTGCTTCTTGTAAACAAAACTATTTCTGTACTGTACAAGAACAGCTGATCTAACCCATTTTCTTTACTCAATTCATGGCAAACATCACTGAATCTTATTCTTTGTCACATTTTTATAATTGGTACTAGCTTGTGTTATTAGTGAATATGGTGTCAAATGGATATCTTGGAGGTGCCTAAGGCCTACGAAAGTCTTAACCCGTCACTGTCCATGGAGGTGATCCACACACACACACACACAAAACACTAATGACTGTTGATACGCCGTTTTATTTTGACTTGTTTTTGGACAGCTTTTCTGTAATTATCACAACTTTACAAGTGTATTCGATGCTAATTAATTAAACGGTGACGGCGTTATGGCTATAGATCACCGGCGTCAAGAATTACAATAGCTGCATAAAGGGAAGCACGTCACCATCCTGCCTTCTAATTAGCGGATTTTACATGACGTCATCTTGTACTGATGTTAATTGCGTGTTTTCTTATTTCGGTTAACTAGTAATAATGTTAAGGGTTCATGTAAGGAATTCAGTGTTGGTAACGAGACAGTTTTTGTGACGTTTATATTGTGTGTAAGGGGTAGAGTAACTCATACACTCTATACACGTCTTCACACACACAGAGCAGGGGTGAAATACTCAGCTGGTAGGGCACTGGCTGACGAAGGTATACACATAACCCACCGCCAAGAGCATAAGGAGTCTGCAATTGGGGTTGGCTTGTGCATGGAGCTCATGTCGAGAGTTACTACCACTTTCTATCATCCATGAATCTATCTAGCCTCCTTTAAAACTCTCCAGGTTCCAGCACTAATAAAAGTTGCTAGCTTGTTCCACTCGTCCACCACCCTATTTGTGAACCGGTTCCTTCCTTATCCAACTTAAATCCGTTGCTCTGAGTCCTATCCTGCTCGGATATTATAAGAACTTTATCTATATCCCTTTATTGATTCCTTTCACCCTTAAATACTTCTATCATATCTCCCCGCACTCTTCGTCTTTCTAGGGAATGCAAGTTAAGTTTCTTTAACCTATCCTGATATGGAAGGTTTCTAAGTCCCGAATCATTTTCGTCATTCTTCGCTGCACCGACTCTAGTGAATTGATATCCATTCTATAATAAGGGCACCAGAACTGAACCGCATAATCGAGGTGCGGCCTGACTAGCTCAAGATATAGTTGCAATAAGACCTTGAACCTTAAGTACCCTAGATCTTTCATAGACAAATGCCTTAACATTTAAGAAGAAATCTTTCTACAGAACCGATCAAAAGCCCACCCATGACCATAAGAATCTCTTAGTATTACCATTTCACAAAATTTCTCTCAAATTCCTACAACTAAAAACCTGAAACGTCAATGTGGCATTTAAATACTCATGCACTGTTAAACAAATGTTAATCAAGAACTCCCCCAACAATACAGGTGGTTGCATTTATAAGGTTCCTTGCAAGGAATGTAATATGTTTTACTTAGGCCAGACAGGTAAAGATCTTGTAACTAGACTTAAACAACACAAATACAGTGTTAGGACAGGCCAGGAATCCAATGCTCTGTTTGTTCATTTGAGGGATAATAAGCATTGCATTGACTGGGATAATGCCTCCTCAATATTACCATGTAATTCATTTGACAGTAGGAACTTTATAGAATCCAGTCTCGTTAAACCTACCGAATCCATCAACATGAATTTGAGCAATGGTATGTACAAACTGGATAATTTCGTAATTAAGAAGATTTGTAACCAGGTGCATTTTGAAGACTAGTAGGGTCATTACCTAATACCTGACCATTGTGCACTTGATCTCACCCTCCTCTGTATATATACACCTTGTTATGTACTTCTCCTTAGTCTGTACTCACCCCTGAAGATGTGAATTACACGAAAGCGCTTGGGAACTTCGTGTTTTCTTCTTTCCTTGTGGTTATCAGCATATATACCCGTATATATATATATATATATATATATATATATATATATATATATATATATATATATATATATATATATATATATATATATATATATATATATATATATATATATATATATATATATGTGTGTGTGTGTGTGTGTGTGTGTGTGTGTGTGTGTGTGTGTGTGTATTTTGAAGACTCTAGGAAGATCTTTCGAGGAATATTATTTTGATTTATTCATCACACAAGTACAGCAGACAGTTCAATCCTATAACATAGTAATTATTAAGATTTCATTCTCCCACATTTTATCGATACCATTGGGGCAAGATCATAATGTCAGTCACACGTCTACACACCCATGGTATAACATAAACATGGAAAAGGTTTACTATATTCAACACTGTTTCATCACTCCTGTCTCTTTCAGCTGTACTAAACACCCAGTGCCTCACTTGGGCAACACTGGTATCCGGGGCCTTGAACCAGTGTCACCAAGTTTGCACTTACAGGCACCTAACTAGAATTGTTCCTCTCACTGACATGAACATTGCCACCTCTATCTGACTAAGTCTACATGAATCATAGATACATTTATAGAACTTCATATTGCTTGATAGCCATTTTAAAACCAGACAGCAAACTTTTTAGAGGAAACTTAACAAATCCATGTTTGGTCTTAAGACAGCTGCAACATACCAAACTACTTTGTACTTGGAAATCACTGATCTTTATCAGTGGTTGTTTTAGCTTACTTCTTGTAAGGGAACAATTACTTATGTGTTTGAACAGCAGATGCACTCTTGTTATCATCTACACTCTACAGTGTTCAACAGAGATGATCACCATACATGAGGCACCTCTTGGATTATGAATGTCAATAAGTTTTTCCTTTTTCCTGTACTCTTGCACGAAAACTTGATCCGTTAACCAGATTCTGATATTTTCACTAGACCTTGACAAGTCCACCAAGTGTCAACACATTCATTAAGTCACCAGACATTCACGAGATCCTGATATAGTCAACAATCATTGACATGTTCACCAGATGTTTCAAGTCCATCAGACTCAAACCGTTCTTTACCAGGAATCAGATCGGTCCCTCATGTAAACAGACCTCACGTGCAGCTGCTGCTGGAGTGTCCTTCGGTAGGTTCTGTGTCCTCCATCGGTGTTCATCTGCTGCCCCTACTGCTGGTGCCGGTGGTAGAATAAGCCTGGGCGGAGGCAGGTGTTGGAGGTGACCTGCTGCTGTTGAGGGTGTTCCAGCGTCTCGTGAAGGTGACCCGATAACTCTCCAGCGACCTCCCCTCCCCCTTGGGACAGAAGAAGAGGTAGATGAAAGGGTTGAAGCATGAGTTGGATGCCGAAATGATCCCGAAGAGCGCCAGCACATTGGGGTTGATTTTGTTCATGTCCCAGAAGGCCATCATGAGCTCCTGAGGGAGATAGGGAGAGAGAGATTTCAGAGATTGTAGGAGAGATAACTGGAAGAGACAATTAACTTTAGAGGCTGTAGGAAAGAGAACTACATAACATTTTATCCTTTTGTGTACTGAGAAGAGATAAACAACTGAGACACGAGTTAATGCATGAGGTCACTAACACAACAATAACTCAATTATTATCTGTCGTTGAAATGATAAACAAGTCATTAATATTCTACGTAAGCCAGAGATTATTTTCACACAGGATAATGAAACAAGCAAATTGAGCAAGAAAGATCTGCGAATCAAGACAAAGACTGTTTTTGACGAGGAATAACAACGAAAAAGTAAAAAATAATTGAAGAAAGGCTTTGTGAAGTTCCTCTTTACTGTTATATGTTTAAATATCCTAATGTGTGTTTGCTGCCATATATTATTCATATATACTTATCATACCTCACTGTACATACATATTAATTGTTTCATTTTTCTTACATTATTTATTTTACATTTCATAATTCCTCAATATTTTATTATTTTTCATCACAATAGTTTATTTTTATTCATCATCCTGATTAGTTATGGTTTATTCTTAAGATCTTATTAATTATTCTAAATTATCACTAATCCTCTGGTTATTACTGTTTGTGGTTATGTTAATTTATTGTAATCCATTCTTCTTTTGTTTCACCAAGGTTTATTTTTTGTGTATTTCAGTTAGTATTGTGGGAGTCTCAATAACCACAACAGCAATGTAGAGTCCTTACCCCGTTGAGAGACTTTTGAGATATTTGTTTGAGAGATAACTGCGGCAGAGACTATTGTGATGTATGTTTGAGAGATAATCGCGAGAAGAGACTTTTGAGATGCAAGCTTGAGAGGGAATTTTCACAAGAGATTTTTCTACAGGTGAGTTAGTGGCAGATAAAAGTGAACCCCGTATGGTAATTTTCTCCCTGCCTCGCCGGAACACCAGCCCACCTTCCCAATGGACAATTTGCATAAGTAATGGGAAGGTCGTCAAAGCTGCCACGAATATTGGGAATTTTATATGGTTAAGAAATTGGAGCTGAATTTTGTATTTGAAGTTTTGAAGATATGACGTAAGGCTTCTCACCTGTATGAAGCAAGGCTTCTCACCTGTATGAAGTAAGGCTTCTCACCTGTATGAAGTCAGGCTTCTCACCTGTATGAAGCAAGGCTTCTCACCTGTATGAAGTAAGGCTTCTCACCTGTATGAAGCAAGGCTTCTCACCTGTATGAAGTAAGGCTTCTCACCTGTATGAAGTAAGGCTTCTCACCTGTACGAAGTAAGGCTTCTCACCTGTATAAAGTAAGGCTTCTCACCTGTATAAAGTAAGGCTTCTTACCTGTATAAAGTAAGGCTTCTCACCTGTACGAAGTAAGGCTTCTCACTTGTATGAAGCAAGGCTTCTCACCTGTACGAAGTAAGGCTTCTCACTTGTATGAAGCAAGGCTTCTCACCTGTATAAAGTAAGGCTTCTTACCTGTATGAAGTAAGGTTTCTCACCTGTGTGACGTAAGGCTTCTCACCTGTACGAAGTAAGGCTTCTCACCTGTATGAAGTAAGGCTTCTCACCTGTATGGTAAGGCTTCTCACCTGTGTGACGTGGGCTTCTCACCTGTGTGGGCTTCTCACTGTGTGACCCGTAAGGCTTCTCATGGGCTTCTCACCTGTGTGACGTAAGGCTTCTCACCTGTGTGACGTAAGGCTTCTCACCTGTGTGACGTAAGGCTTCTCACCTGTGTGACGTAAGGCTTCTCACCTGTGTGACGTAAGGCTTCTCACCTGTGTGACGTAAGGCTTCTCACCTGTGTGACGTAAGGCTTCTCACCTGTGTGACGTAAGGCTTCTCACCTGTGTGACGTAAGGCTTCTCACCTGTGTGACGTAAGGCGTGTTTGTGATGAAGAAGGTGGCGACAATTACGATGGTCATGTTAAGTGTCTTTGTCTTCGCTTTAGGCAGAAGGCTGTTGGACCGACGACTGTCACTGTTCCCTCTGTCGCCGCTCCTGAGGGGAAGGGAGGGAGTGGAGGCTGTGAGAATGTGGGTGATCAAGGTGGAGGTTAGGGGGGGGGGGTTTAAACACCGTAAACAGCGAGGGTGTGTGTAGAAAGAAAAAAAGTAGGACATTGAAAGAGAGAGAACACGGAGAAAGAAAATATAGAGAGACAGAGAGAGATGCAGTGACGAAAGAGTAAGAAAAAGAGAGAGAAAGGAAGGGAGGAAAAATATCCATTCCTTCCATTGGGAGAGTTAGTAAGAGTGAGGGAGAAGAGGGAGATTACTTTTTAAGAGAGTCAGGGAGAAGATAACCACACAAGAACGAGAGAATTATAATGAGGAATGAGAAAGAAAGTGAGAATGAGGGAGAGTAAGGAGTAGTGTGAGACAAATTAGAGGTACATCTTGTCTAGACTCTATTTTCTCTATACCTTTCACAATCTCTCAGCCCATCATATTCTCTTTCAATTTAGTATTATTTCTCTGACTATCACTCTTAATATTTCTCACTCTTATTCTCCCTCCCAATCCAACTCAGCATCATAAAAATTCTTAATTTTTTCCAATCTCCCTAAGTCATTGTAGTATCCAAGCTTTCCCCCATCTCACGTATAATCTCCCAGTCTCATCCAGTCTCATCCAATCATTGCCAGTCCCTGTGTAATCCTCCTTCAGCTCTTCATAGCCACTTAGGTTCTTCCGAGAGATTTTCCCATTAGCTATTCAGTATTGACCCTAGAGAGAAACAGGAGGACAGATGTGTTTGGGTGAGTCAGCCAACACACACACACACACACGTCACTATCAACACACACACACACACACACCACACGTCACTATCACACACACACACACACGTCACTATCAACACACACACACACACACACACACACACACACACACACACACACACGTCACTATCAACACACACACACACACACACACACACACACACACACACGTCACTATCAACACACACACACACACACACACACACACGTCTATCAACACACACACACACACACACACACACACACACACACACACACACACACGTCACTATCACACACACACACACACACACACACACACACGTCACTATCAACACACACACATACGTTACTATCATCTTCCCTCATTCGGTCTCCCTCCCTAGCTTCCACCCTTCATCTCCTCCTTCCTTCCTCCTCTCCTTCCTCCCTCCCTTCCCATTACCCTCCCTCCCTTCCCATTACTCTCCCTCCCTTCCCCTCACCCTCCCTCCCACCCTTCCTTCCTCTCACCCTCCATCCTGCTGACTCACTTGAAGTACGAGGACTGTCGCCAGATGGTGAAGTAGATCCTCAGGTAGAGGATGAGCAGCAACATCTGGCAAGAGACGAACACCAGCACGAGGACCACCATCAGGTACACCTGTGGACGAAAGGTTATTAGCTCACCAGGTTATTAGCTCATTAGGTTATTTGCTCACCAGGTTATCAGCTCACCATGTTATTAGCTCACCAGATTATAAGCTCACCATGTTATTAGCACACCATGTTATTAGCTCACCATGTTATTAGCTCACCATGTTATTAGCTCACCAGTTTATTAGCTCACCAGGTTATTAGCACATCAGGTTATTAGCTTACCAGTTTGTTAGCTCACCAGGTTATTAGGTCACAAAGTCAAATGTTATCAGATCATTAAGTCGCTCACATACACACCGAATAACACAACTTGACCCACCTTTCTGAAGTTGTTATCCAGCTCCTTGGTGTAAAACTTGGACACACAGTAAACACCTCCGTCTTGCGTCTCGTACCTGGTGGAGAGACGAAGAGTGTCTAGCAGCCACTAAAGTCAGTGTAGGTGGTGGTGTAGAGGTGTGGGTGTAGTGAGGTGTTGAAGGGGTGATATGAGGGTGTACAGTAGAGATGCCCAATGATAAGATTTAAATCTCAAAATGCTGACTCACACGAAATTACGTCACCAGCGAAGTGGGAACTAACTAGCGACATGGGAAACTAACTAGCGACATGGGAACTAACTAGCGACATGGGAAACTAACTAGCGGGGTGAGAAACTGACTAGCAACGCGGAAACTAACTAGCGATGTGGAAATCTAACTAGTGTAGTGGGAACTAACTAGCGGGATGAGAAACTAACCGCGGGAGTCACTGAGAATTTGAACTGACAGGTGATATAATGTTACTAGTGGTGCAGAAAATGTGTTATTGAGGCTCCAACCAACTACTGCACCATTTTTTTCAACAACGTAATCCTTCCCCGTCCCCCCCCCCCACTTTATTTTACCACAGACGAGACGACATTGGTTTTATTTTCAACAATTGCAGTGATTTCTCCCATTGTGTCATGTTCCAAGATATTGTCTGTTGTTTCATCATGATCTGGATCAAGGGTTTTAATGAACCTCAAAGGAAACATGATGGAAACAAGAGTCATAGTGCTTTGAAGAGGAAGATTCCGGCCTCAGTGGGGAGTGCTGTGGCTAGACAGCACAGGGACGCAGTGACAGGGATGGAGTCTTAGTTGTATTAATATTTGTTTTGTTGTTTCTACCGCAACATAACCATTCCTAGACGAGATTCTTCTCCGTAGGGAATCTTCTCAACTTGTGTAAAGTGGCGCTTTTTAAGGTAATCCAATGTACTTTATTTCGCCCCAGGAAAACTTTTATCTCCTTGGATTGCAATATCCGAAGAACGTTTTTCCAGGATACTTTAAAATTACTTATTATCCGCTAAGCATCTCCTCAATGCATGCCAATTCAGCAAATGAGAGCGGGAAGAAAAAAGAATGAGGAGGGGGTGAGAGAAAGAGAGAATGTGAGTGACGATGTTTTATAGAATAAGTGGGATGTAAAAAGATAAAGAAATACGAGAGAGAGAGATAGAGAGGATGGATTATATAGATGAGGAACGGGATACTGAAAATGTTGTGGACAATAAACCGACAAACATTTCTTCATAGAGGAGGACCTACCTGAAGAAGGGATAAAAGGAGGACCTACCTGAAGGGATAAGAAGAGTACCTACCTTAAGAAGGGATAAGAGGAAGACCTACCTGAAGGGATAAGAAGAGGACCTACCCGAAGAAGGAATAAGAGGAAGACCTACGTGAAGAAGGGATAGGAGGAAGACCTACGTGAAGAAGGGATAAGAGGAAGACCTACCTGAAGAAGGGATAAGAGGAGGACCTACCTGAAGAAGGAATGACCTAAGAAGGAATAAGAGGAGGACCTACCTGAAGAAGGGATAAGAGGAGGACCTACCTGAAGAAGGGATAAGAGGAAGACCTACCTGAAGAAGGGATAAGAGGAAGACCTACCTGAAGGGATAAGAAGAGGACCTACCGAAGAAGGAATAAGAGGAAGACCTACCCGAAGAAGGAATAAGAGGAAGACCTACCTGAAGAAGGAATAAGAGGACCTACCTGAAGAAGGAATAAGAGGAGGACCTACCTGAAGAAGGGATAAGAGGAGGACCTACCTGAAGAAGGGATAAGAGGAAGACCTACCTGAAGAAGGGATAAGAGGAAGACATACCTGAAGAAGGGATAAGAGGAAGACCTACCTGAAGAAGGGATAAGAGGAAGACATACCTGAAGGGATAAGAGGAAGACATACCTGAAGAAGGGATAAGAGGAAGACATACCTGAAGAAGGGATAAGAGGAAGACCTACCTGAAGGGATAAGAGGAAGACCTACCTGAAGAAGGGAGAAGAGGACCTACCTGAAGAAGAGACAACAAGAGAACCTACCTGAAATGAAGAGGAAGGAGAAAGAGCGGGAACAACCTATCCCAAGGAGTAAATAATGTGAAGACCTGCTTGAAGAGATGATAGAAGAATCTACAATACCTGCAGACGAGATAACAAGATGGCCTACCTCAAGAAGACGAAGAGGTTGGGCAGAGAAGGAAGGAGGCTAACGGCCCAGGCTGCCAGCACCAGGTTCTTGGCGCTGATAAATGGGTTGAGTGGCCTTACCACAGCCTCGTGGCGGTCGATAGCGATGGCGACGAGCATGTAGTTGCTAGAGGTGATGGCGAAGGTCGACGCCACCTTATACAGCTTGCAGGCCACGTTGGATAGATACCAGTGCATGTCTAGTACCTCCCACATGAGCTGACCTGGGTGCGAGATACACAAGCGTCATAAACAGATAAGGCAATGGCCATGGGAGGGAGAGGAACTTAATGTTTACTTAAATCCAACGCTAACCTGGCCATTGTTGTGATGCTTAGAGAGAATTTTGATGAAGAAGTGTAAAACCTGGCCGAAAGAGAATAAGGGTAGGAGGAGAGCCGGGGGATAGAAAGACTGGTGGCATGAAGGAACTTAAAAACTGTGATCATCGAGGCTGTCACAATATATGGTAGAGACAGACCTAACCTTGAGTCGTGGTCGTCAACAGCCAGGTATACAATACGGGGATGTCACCTTGATTGATTGCCTAATTGAAGGATTATTTGGCTCCGAGACAATCAAGTGAGAGAAGCATCAATCAGTGTGAGGAAGACCTTCATAGATACCTGATAATGTAACCTCATTTGATTATGTTTTTCAGTTGAAAAATTATGAATGTCCTTGACGGAGGAAAATAACATTTCCAGTAAATACAAAAAATCTCTTTCAACTTTCCAATCACCAAATGAGGAATTGGAATCGATGAAATAGTAGATATGAATTTTAAATATTCTCTAAACTATAGTACTATAATATAACAGCATAGTAACATTCATTTCTAACTCACAAAATGCTTTACACGATGAGATTTATAGGTGGCTTCTGTCTTAATGTATTCATAGTGTGAAGAAGCAACTTTGTGTGGTAATGAACTAATATTTCTCTGTAACAGCGATGGAATATCTCACTGACGACCCTGGCTCTTTTCTTCACTTTATCTTCCTTTCCTCTTTCCTCCCGGTTCCCTTCCTTCCTGTTTCCCCTTCCTCCCTTCCTTTTCCTTTTTCTCCCTTTATTTTCCCCTTTCACCCTTCCCTTTTCCCCTTTCACCCTTCCTTTTTCCCTTTCTCCCTTTTCCCCACCTTCTTTCTTCGACTCTTATCTCCCCCTTCCTATCATTCCTCTTTTCCTCGACTCCATCCCCCGCCCTTGCCTTCATTCCTTCATTCTTCTTTCCTTCACCTCCCTTTCTGCGTTTCCTCCCTTCATTTTTCTCCTGTCTCTCTTCCTTCCTCAACACCCTTCTCATTGCCTGTTTCCTTCAACTCCTTTCCCCCTTCCTTGCCTCCCATTTTCCCTTCTTTCCATCACCTTCCTTCCTCCCTTCCTTCGCCAACCTTCATACCTCTCTCTTTCCCCACCTCCCTTCTTCTTTCCCTCGTTTGCGTTTCAATTACCATCACTTATTTCCCCCACCTCCCTCCCTCCTCACTTCTACCTTGACCTACATCTGAGAACATAAGAATGGAGGAAACTGCAACGGGCCTATTGGACCATACTGGGCAGTCCCATTTACACCCAAATCCTATTGCTCAAACAGTATATCCATCCAACCAATGTTTGAAGCTGTCCAGCGTATTCGAGTTAATGATGATGTTTGGTAACTTGTTCCATTCATCCACTACGCTTTTCCAAACCAGTGTTTACCTATCTCGCGCCTAAATCTAAATTTGTCTAATTTAATACCATTGTTACGAGTTCGCTTCTGGTTGGATAGTTTGAATTCCTTTGTAATGTCCCCTTTGTTTAGCCCTGACTTCCATTTATACACCTCTATCAGGTCGCCCCTCGCTCTACGTCTCTCGAGGGAGTGCAAATTAAGATGCTTGAACCTGTCTCCGTACTCAAGGTTCCTAATGCCCGGGATTAGTCTTGTCATTCTCCTCTGAATTCTTTCTAGGGATTCTATATCCATCCTGTAATACGGTGACCAGAATTGAACTGTGTAATCCAAGTCAGGTCTCAAAAGCGCAAGATACAGTTTTTGGGTGACCTCTCTCGTCTTGTAACTAACACTCCTTTGTATGAACCCAAGTACTTTATTAGCCGTGTTTCGAGCAAATACACATTGTTTACTTGGCTTAAGATTCCGACTTATCATTACTCCTAAACCTTTTTCACATTCGGATTTCTCTATAACATCGTTGTTCATCTGATGTTTTGGTTTCTCTGTTTACATCTCCTAGACTAAGTACTTTACAATTATCCACATTGAATTTCACCTGCCATTTTTCAGACCATTCGAAATATTTGTTTACATCTTCCTGTAGTTTTGCGGAGTCCTCGTCAGATTTAATTACACGCCCTATTTTAGTGTCATCAGTAAATTTACTTATGTTGCTGTCGATTCCTATATCTATGTCGTTTATGTATATAATAAATGGTAATTGTCCAAATACTGAGCTTTGGGGAACTCCACTATATGCTCGCTGTTGACAGAACTAAATCGAGTTTATTATTACTCCGGGTGGGTTCGGTTATATGTTGACTTAGGAAACAGTCCTGAACTGTTTCAAGAAAATCCTCTGATTTTGTGTTACCCGTAAGGTTGATCCAATCTATTTGACTAAAGTTAAAATCGCCTACTATACAGACTTTGCTATGTATGGAAGCCCTGCGCATTTCATCCCAAATAAGTCGCTCATTAACTCTATCAAGATTAGGTCTATATATTATTCCTATGATTAATTTTTTTCCTACCATCGGTTAATTCTATCCAAATTGTTTCTGTATTCAGTTCAGTTTTTATTTCCTTATTGATATCACACTTCATATTAACCCTGGCATAGATTGCTACTCCGCCTCCTTTCCTAATCTGCCTATCGGTTTGGAATAAATTGTAACCTTTAATTTGATATTCGACAGGTAACTCACTTGAGTAAGTTTATCCATGTTTCAGTGAATGCTATTATATCGATTTTTTTCGGTACATACCAACGCCCTGATTTCACCCATTTAGTTTCTCATAATTCTACTGTTTGCGTAGTAGACATTTAAGTTAGTCGTGATCCGAGTCCTCACTTTGTCGCGTTTAGGTTTTAACTCTCCTGCCCAATTTCGTTTTGTTATAATTCTTAGCACTATTTCTCTGTAACTTATAATTTTGTTTACCCGCACCCACTGCAGTGTCTTCGGTCTCCGTGCTTACATGTTCCCCGAGCAACTTAAAGACTTCGATATCTTTTAAACTGCTCTCAAAAGAGAGCCAGCCAGGGTTGCCACCCCATCCCTAGTAAAAAGGTCCCTTCTGCGGTAAAAGTTGTTCCAGTTGTCAATGAATGGGACTGTTATTGACTTGCAACATCTGTCAAGACGGCCGTTGACACCCGCTGCCCTTGAGAACCATTCATTGCCAACTCTCCTCCTAGGAAGGACACCACACATGACAGGGATCCGTCCCTTCACCCTAATACGTTCTGTAGCTGCCTTGAACTTATCAAGAAGCTCCTCACTCCCACACCGGCCAATTTTCATTGCCTCCTGCACTGAGGCAGATAATGGGTTTGTTCCCATTACCAGACCAGATATTGTCCATCCTGTCCCCCCATCCCAGCTCCTGGCAAACACACTCGCATCCTATTTCTATTTTTTAGGGGATTATGAGGAGGGAAGGGGAGGGAGAGGGGGGATTAAGAGAGAGCGAAGGGGGGGAGAGGGGGGATTAAGAGAGAGCGAAGGGGGGGATAAGGAGTGAGGGAAGGGAAGAGGACAAGATTTATTCAATAACCGATCATTTTTTTCCTTCCCACTGTCCGTAATTACTATCAGACATTAACATTCAATGCCAAGGACCGTATAATTATTCTACCCGTCCGTGTTGTGTCCAAGTCCGTTTGTCTACCCGCACGTGTTGTCTCCCCGTCCGTGTTGTCTCCCCGTCCGTGTTGTCTCCCCGTCCGTGTTGTCTCCCCGTCCGTGTTGTCTCCCCGTCCGTGTTGTCTCCCCGTCCGTGTTGTCTCCCCGTCCGTGTTAACCGATATGAAAGCTGATTTTAGTCCTTTTAGAAAACATATAACAGCTTCTGATCAGGTTATTTTATTAGTTACTGGATGTAGGGATGGAGAGAGGAGGGAAAGGATAGGTAGGAGGAGGGCAGGAGGATAAGAGGAGGGAAAAGGAAGGAGGATGAAGGGCTAGAAGACAGGAAGCAAAGAGGACGGGAAGGAAGAAAGGAGGATGGAGGGTAGCAGGAGAGAAAGAGGGGGGAAGGAAGGAGGAGGATGGAAGACAAGAGGATAGAAGGGGGGAAGGAAGGAAGAAAGATGGAGGGTAGGAGGACGAAAAGAGGAAGGAGGGAAAGAAGGAGGATTGTGGGTAGAAGGGGGAAAAGGGATGGAGGGTAGGAAGGGGGATGGAGAGCAGGAGGGCGGGAGGAAGGAAAGGCAAGAAGGACGAGTGGGAGGAAGGAAGAGTGGGAGGAAGGAAAGGAAAGGAGACATAGATGAAGAGGAAGAACGAGAGAAGGGCGAAAGAGAAGTCAGTTAGATGGAAAAGGGAGGAAAGAGAGAAAGAGAAGAGAGAAAGAAAAATAAAAAATAAAAAGGAGAGAGAGAAAGAGAGAGGCCAGGACCATTCTTCCTAAACCTGGCATTGGAACCTGAATCTTTGAGAGACCCAAAATGGACGGTAGTAGAGAAGATAATAAGAATAACAATAATAAAATATACACATAAAATAGACAAAGATAAGTAAATATATCTACCAACAACGACAATATATTTAATTAAACCTCAAACATGAAAGACCGTCTCATGACTTCTTTATGAATACAAAACAACACAAAGACCTGACAACACGCTGAGGAACATGGATCTTTTTTTAAACCATCTCGGATGTTTGTGCAACGTCTCTGTTGAATAAATATTGTCCTGAAAAGTTTAGGATAACAAGAAGGAAATCTGATTTAGTTATATAGAGAGAGAGAGAGAGTCAAATCTTAACTTTATATGGATCAGCGTACATACAGACAGTGCAAATACATAAACAATGGTTGACACTAAATCAATATATTAGACAAGTTTTGTTTCTTCAATGAATCATCATAAATATTAAGACGTGTGTATGTTTTTTTTTTCTTTATCATAAATATTAAATTCATAAATATAAAAAGACATCACAAGATGATTATATAATTGTTTACATGTCCGATAACTTAGTGTTGCCACCTCCAAGTGTAGGGTAAGAGAACCTTTATTTCCTTGAGAGGGAACTTGGGAGGAGAGGCTTTAAACACTGATTGAGGAGACTGTAAAGAGTGTTTGATACCGGGAAAGACTGGGTGAATTTTTCGTTTCGTATTTACATTTCAAGAGACTAGATTTGATTGACCAATTTTCTTTCAATAGGATGATGCAATATAGCAACCGTTGCAAGAGACATTTCTAAGTTATGATATCAAGAGGATTTATGGGATATTGCGTAGTTACCTTGATCACCTGTTTATCTAAAGATTATATGGTGAAAAGGCCAACAACATTACCTGTGCTCAAGAATACCATTAGAGTTACCTGGCGTTAAGAAAATTTACAAATGTGTCCAGGAATTAATGATCACCTGTACAAATTCTCACAAACGAGAGAGAGAGAGAAAGAGAGAGAGAGAGAGAGAGACAGAGAGAGTAATAAACAGGGAGGTAATATAAGGTGTGAGGGAGAGAGAGAATGCCCAAAGGGTACATAATCTGCTCATGGGTCACTCGACTAATTACTGAGCACCAACCGTCCTGTTCGGGGCCTCGGAGACCAAAGGATAATTCTGGCCGAGTCTTCAGCATTATCCTGATTCTCGGAAGTGTCTGTCTGTCTTTCTGTCTGTCTGTCTGTCTCATTTAGCCAATTGAGGAAGAAACGAAAACCAGTATGATGACAAGAAGGAGGAGGATAATGCACTACCTAGGATGAAGACGAAGGACGAGGATGATGAAGTACTCTACCTAGGATGAAGACGAAGGACGAGGATGATGAAGTACTCTACCTAGGATGATGACAAGAAGGAGAGAAGGATGATGAAGTACTCTACCTAGGATGAAGACGAAGGACGAGGATGATGAAGTACTTACCAGATGAAGACGAAGGACGAGGATGATGAAGTACTCTACCTAGGATGAAGACGAAGGACGAGGATGATGAAGTACTCTACCTAGGATGAAGACGAAGGACGAGGATGATGAAGTACTTACCTAGGATGAAGACGAAGGACGAGGATGATGAAGTACCTACCTAGGATGAAGACGAAGGACGAGGATGATAAGTACTTACCCAGGATGAAGACGAAGGACGAGGATGATGAAGTACTTACCAGGGATGAAGACGAAGGACGAGGATGTGAAGTACTTACCTAAAATGGTACTGAGGACGACGAGCGTGTCAGCTAAGGTCAGGTTGAAGCTGAGGATGGTCATTCGTCCTCTCTTGCCCCACTTGCTCCTCAGACTCCACATGACCCGAGAATTGCCCACCAGTGCCACCAAGAACATCACGCCGAGGATACCCTGACGCAGTTGCTTGTGGTACCCGGGTCCCAGTACCTCAGGGCGAGCCATTATCTGCTGGGAGAGGGAGAGAGACTTTGGTGGTGGGGAGAAAACGTTTGTAGTGGGGAGGAGGTAGGGGGGAGGAGGTGGCAGGGAAGAGGTAAGTGGTGAGGGAGGAGGTAAGTGGTGGGGGAAGAGGTAAGGGTGAGGGGAGGTGGGTGGTGAGGGGAGGAGGTAAGGTGGGGGGGAAGATAAGTGTGGGGGAAGAGGGTGGTGGGGAAGAGGAAAGTGGTGGATGGGTGAAATTAGTGGTGGGAGGAGGGGGTAAGTGTAAAATTAGTGGTGGGGGGAGGGAGATCTTTGCTGGTGGTAAATGAGATTAAACATCTTAGGTCGGGCTGCTACCTGTGTGAAAGGGGAAGTTGTCCAATTAGTGGTGGTGGTGATGGGGGGGGGTGGGGATAAGTGGTACCAGGACCTCATTATCGTCTCAGTTCGTGCCATTAGCTGTCTGATGGCGGGGGGAGTTAGTGGTGAGGTGAAGTAGGAGTTCGTGAAAGGAAGTATCTAGGGCTCTTGAACATTAGTGGCTGAATAAATGGTAGAGGAAGTAGTGAGGGTGGTGGCACTAGCGTATATGGTGGTGGGAGGAAGGTGGCAGGGAGGAAAGGGTGGCAGGAGGAAAGAAGGAGCAGGAAGGAAGGGGTAGCAGGAGGAAGAGGGCAGGGAGGAAAGAAGGGTGGCAGGGGAGGAAGAAGGTGGAGGGGGGAAGGGGGAAGGTGGCAGAAAGGAAGGGGTGGCAGGGGGTAGAAGGGAAGGGTGTCGAGGTGGCAAAGGGAAGGGGTGCAGGAGGGAAGAAGGGACAGGGGAAGGGGCAGAAGGAAGGGGTGGCAGGGGGGAAGGCAGGGAGGGAAGAAGGTGGCAGGAGGGAAGAAGGTGGAGGGGGAAGGCAGAAGGGAAGGGGTGGCAGGGGGGTGGTAGAAGGGAAGGGGTGGCAGGGAGGGAAGAAGGGTGTGGGTGGGGAGGGAAGAAGGGTGGAAGGGGGGGAAGGGGTGGCAGAAGGGAAGGTGGTAGGGGGGTGGGTAGGAGGAAGGGGTGGCAGGGAGGGAAGAAGGTGGCAGGAGGGAAGAAGGTGGGAGGGGGAAGGTGGCAGAAGGGAAGGTGCAGGGGGGTGGTAGAAGGAAGGGGTGTGGGGGGAGGGAAGAAGGGTGACAGGGGGAAGGGGTGGCAGAAAGGAAGGGTGGCAGGGGGGAAGGGGTGGCAGGAGGGAAGAAGGGGTGGAGGGAGGGAAGGGTGACAGGGGGAAGGTGGCAGAAGGAAGGGGTGGCAGGGGGAAGGTGGCAGAAGGAATGGGTGGTGGGAAAGAAGGGGTGGCAGGGGGGAAGAAGGGTGGCAGGGGAAGGGTGAGAGAAGGAAGGGTGGCAGGGGAAGGGTGGCAGGGAAGGGGAAAAGGAAATGGGTGGCAGGGAGGGAAGAAAGGGTAGCAGGGAGGGAAGAAGGGATGGCAGGGGGGAAGGGGTGACAAAAGGAAGGTGGCAGGAGTTAGTGGTTGTGAAGCCGTGGAAGTATAAGAACTGATGGAGGGAAAGACTATAACATGGTAATTAGTTACGTCTGTATGGGATGGCGACTTCCACTCTGCCACCATTACGGCTTACTATACAAAAAAAAAATATTATATAGACACAACAACAAGTACTACTATAGCAGCATTGCACGATAGAGAGCTACCAGGCTCAGACAAGTAATTTCGGCTGGTGAGCCCTTGAGCCCCACAGCTTATTCCTCAACATTGAAGTTTTCTGCAACTGTAAATACTACTTGAAAGTTACTCATTATTTACAAATTAGATAAATCTTTATATTTATTATGTATGTATGTATGTATGTATGTATGTATGTATGTATGTATGTATGTATGTATGTTTGTACGAAAATCGAAAATAGGCATAACCAACTTTTTAGTGAATAGATCTACTTAGCCATTTTAAATACGTCTTCTTCAAGTTATAGAAAACGATTCGTTAATCATTTTTGTCGTGAAGAGGAAGTAAGAGGAGGAGAAAAAGAAGAAGGGAAAGAGGAGCAAGAGGAAATAAAGAAGAAAAGAAGGGGTATAGACAGAGGAGGGAAAGAGGAAGAGATAGAGGAAGATGAGACGAAGAGACAGAGGAAGAAAATTAAGAGGAGACAGAGGAATAAAAGGAAGAGGAGGAGACCAAGGAAAAAAGGAAGAGGAGACAGAGAAGGAGGAAGAAAAGGAAGAGACAGATGAAGAATAAGAGACATAGGAGGACGAGGAGGAAGAGGAAGACTAAGAGGGTGATGATGGTGATGATGATGATTAAACCTCTCCTCTCCTGCTCACTCTTCCTCGCTCCTCTACTTCCTCTAATTCCTATCTCTCCTCTTCCTTCCTTCCCTCCTACCCTGTTCATCTTCCCTTCCCTTCTTTTCTTCTTCACCTCTTCCCTTTCCCACCCCCCCTCTCCTCTCCCCCAGACTGGTTTCTCCCTATCACTGTCTTCTCTCCAGCGTGCGGAGGGAATGAGAGAAGGAGGGGAAGAGAAGGGAAACGAACAATAGTTAAATGGAACTATTTTGGGATAAAGAACAAATGAGAGAGAGAGAGAGAGAGAGTCAACAAAGGGAGAATTTCGTCAGTGTTCTCTGCTAGGGGACGAAATACGAGAGTGAAGCTAATATAAGGTGTTTAGGTGTGTGTGTGCTTGTGAGTGTGAACGTTTTGTGTATATGTGTTGTATGTGAACCTGATGGATTATTTTGTCTTTGTACAGAACTTCACACACACACACTCACACACACACACTCACACCACACACACACACACACACACACACACACACACACACACACACACATCTCTTCCCACCCCACTCACATATCCCTCTCCCAAACCCCACTCACATCCGTCTTCTCACTCACATCCCTCTTCCCACTCACACCTCTTCCCACCCCACTCACATATCCCTCTTCCCACCCCACTCACATCCCTCTTCCCACTCACATATCCCTCTTCCCACCCCACTCACATATCCCTCTCCCAAACCCCACTCACATCCCTCTCCTCTCCTTATACTCTGGGTCCCATGATTTCGAATTTTTGCTCAAGCCGACACCACCACCAGTGACTCTATAATTAGTTGTCCCAATCAAGAGAATTTATAAGTAATTTTATAAGTGAACTCTTAAATAAGTAATTAAGTAGAGTGCAAAGACCAAGTTATAAGTAATCCTTCCAGACCAGAAAAATAAGAAAACGAAACATTAAATTATAGAAGTGAATTGTTTTGATTTGGTTTTGTTTTTCTGGCCACCAATGCAGCGCCTCGGACTCTGATTGGCTGAGGTTAAGTCACGTGGAAAACATTCTGATTGGCTGAGGTTAAGTCACGTGGAAAAACATTCTGATTGGCTGAGGTTAAGTCACGTGGAAAAAAAAAAATGGTTATGTTAGCATCTGGTGACAATGGTTGTTGGGAAGAGTTTTAAATCAGATCACAAATGTCTATCTCCCGTGTTCATTAAAGTGTGAAAATAGTTAGTGTAAAATGGTGTAAAAGTGTGGATAGAATGAGGCAGCAGATGGCCTTGCCAAGACTGGCTGCAACAAGGCCACACCTAACTACGTTGTTCCTCGAACACTCTTACAGATTAGGACCCAAATTCCACGCAAACAGAGAGAAGCTCGGGAAGCAGCCATCCCCCTGGACTCCCCGCCCACCTGGTACGATGTCCTCCGTAAACTTCCTGACCTCTCGTACGTCTAACGGAAAGGGTCGCGGAAAGGGACGTGATTGCTGCCCGTATCATCATTGGGTATGACTTTGCTTGGGAGATTGGTATCCTGCATCCCCTGAGCAACGCTCTGTGCATTATGCAGAAGACCCGACAGCCGCACCCTTATCCACTACCTCCTAAGATGTCCCCACAAACAACGCTTCCGTGAAGCCTGCTGGACCACCACTCCACGACCCCCTGACGGAGACACGATGATCCTCCCATACTGGCCAGATATTTTGTAAATAATATTGATTATGTGTTAAAGGAATATCCTTCCTTCCTTAGGCTTTAGTAAGCCCCTTTATAATATTTATACTGTATATACTTGTCACACTTGCCAGATGCTTCTGGTGTCATTGTACAGGGGTACCTAGTGACAGCACTAGGATCCCGCTTCCTCTATCAAGGAATAAACAATTGAAATTGAAATTGAAATTGAAAGTGTGGATATAGTGAAAGACATAAATTCTTAAGTGTATAAATGATAGTAGTCCCGAGGGTGCTGAAATATATGACAACACAAACACACACACACACACACATACACACTATAATTGCAGACTCTCTCTCTCTCTCTCTCTCTCTCATCCATCATCACTTTTCCCTCCTCTTTTTCCTCTCTCCCCCTCCGCTCCCCTTCCCTCCACTCCCTCTCTCTCTCTCTCCCTGATTGCTTTCCAAATATCGCTTCACTACCAAAATAACAATAGATTTTTACACCCCCTATTTTATCCTCTCGCTATATTCTCTCCCCTATTTTATCCTTCTTATGTTCTTATGAAGATGTGTCACTAAACCATGTGATCACTACACCATCCTGGCTCCACGACCACGTGAGGTCCTTCACGTCAACTCCTACGGAAGTGTCACTATACCACGTGAACACCACACCACTCGGTTTCTCTATGACCACGTGATAAGAACATAAGAAAGAACATAAGAATGGAGGAAACTGGAGCGGTCCTATTATTGGATACTGGGCAGTCCCATTACACCAACCCCTATTGCTCATATAAGCATCCAACCTATGTTTGAAGCTATCCAGCGTATTCGAGTTAATAATGATATTTGGTAACTTGTTCCATTTATCCACTACTCTGTTACCAAACCAGTGTTAACCTATTTCGCGCCTAAATCGAAATTTGTCTAATTTAAAACAAATTGTTACGAGTTCGCTCCTGGTTGGATAGTTTGAGTACCTTTGTAAGGTCCCTTTTGTTCAGCCCTGACTTCCATTTATACACCTCTATCATATCGCCTCTCACTCTACGT